AAATGCAAAATTAAATAATATGAATAGTTTTATCTGCAGCATTCTCTTTCCCCCCCTTCTTTTAGTAGGTGTAATTTGAAATGTAATTGGTCAACATGTTGAGAGATTTAGAAACAATGCAAATTACACTTGAAAAGTTACAGAATTTCAATTTATAGTAGATCTGGATTTAAATCTAATGGATAATAGGAATGTCTGGTTATGCAATTGTATGGATTAAAAATGATGAAACTAAAAAGTTAATTAAAAAAAACATTAAGCAGTGAAAAACAGTTAATATGAAGTATCTCCTCTATGAAAATATTGTATGGCATTTATCAGATTCATCAAGCCAACCAAGAAGTCGAGTATTTGAAGAGTAAAGTAAACAATGGAACTATCCTACAAATTCATAACTTTAACATTGATCACATTCTGGAAAAAATTTTAGTTCATCTATTTAAACTTTAGTGTTTATCATACTGTAGACACTTTACATTATACAGTAAAATTCAATAATTTTACTTTTATTTAAGATTGATTTGTTACTTTGTTTTATTAATATTTTTATATTTAGTTTGTTAACCTGAGCAATAATTTTATGCTTAAAACATTTAAAACATTAAATACTTATAACTTTAGTTTGAACAAGATCCTTTTTATTTAAATATTTTTATCAGTTCAATGTTGTTCAATTATATTCAATGTTGTTGAACAATTAGATTAGCATCTTGAAAAAAGTTTAATCTTGGATTCTAATAATCATCTATTTGTAAAATAAAATAATTCCGTTTTATTTTATTTTACAAACTAGACCTATAAATTTTACTTATTTCTTCGAAATAACTAAAACTGAAAGTTAATGAAATTTGAATAGTTCAAAATTATTCTTAACAATATTCTTATAATAAATTTTTCATGCATAATTTGTTATTAAAGCAATGTTCTATTAATAAAAAAAATACTTAATATCGCAGTATTTATTATTCTAAGTGAATTTTAAATTCAAAATTACAACTTTAATTGATATTTGGGTTTAACTGGATTATTTTATACAGTTAAAATTTTAGCCTTTATGCTTCATTCTCTCTTATCAGAAATATACTTCTATAATTTATCAAATATATCTAAAGAATTTTGATAAATTATCATAATTCAATTTTCCCATTTACAATGCTTAGTTTGAAAAATCAGAAAATAAAATATTAAAAACTTTTATTGTACATATTGATTAATCCTATATGTCTGCATTATCAACTTATAACAATAGGTTAATTTTTTATAATAATAAAACCAAAGCAATGTAAAATTCCAGTATAGTGTCCTAGAATCTATGAGTCATGGCAACAATTTGAATACTTGTTCTTACTCCACCTATTCAAGACTTTTTAAGGTTAACTATTCAAAATTATATTTTAAATAAAACTTTCAAATTTGTTTGCTATAGTATATGATTAAATATTGTAAAGAAAACAAACATTTGTTTTTCCACACATTTATCTAAAAATGTTTAATCCAGTTTCACCTGATCAATCAATCAATCAAAGTTTTATTTGCATATAAGGCTATAGCCTGTTACAGGGGGTATTAGCTTTACAATTTCTTTTCTCTTCATTTCTATTATTTAATAATCATAGTTTTAAAGGTTTTACTAACATTATTATAGTATCTATATATTTCGCTAATACTGGCTTTATCCAACTTTCTACACATTTCTTTTTCTTCCTTACAATTATTATTTTGTTCTTTATTAGTTTTTAGTTCATGTTCTTTATTCTCCACACTTACATATAATAAATGTAATTTCGATAGTTTTTTTCTTACATATTGGACAGTTGAATTGTTCATATTCTACGTACTTATTGTTAATCATCAATCCTTTTTGGTTAAAAAATTTTTTATGCAATTTAGACTTAACATTAAATGCAATATTAGTTTTCATATAATTATTAATTAATGGGAAGTTTAAGATCTCAGAATAACAATTATTTTTTCTTTTTTGAATATCTTCTGTATCTTGTATTATTGAGTGTTCTGTTACTCTATATATTAGTTGACTGATTCGTTGATCATTATTTTGGAGATATTCAAACACTAATTCTATTGAGAACCTGTATATATTAAAGATTTTCGATATTTGCGTTATCCAATTGCGCTTAATATATTTAATTCTTGATTTTTTTTATATAATAAATTTACAAGTTTTGTCATCAAATCTTTTGCATTAATCATTTTTGTAGAAATTTTATATAACATTTAATTAGTATTGTATTGAGTTTATACCTCATTAATTCTAGATGCAATGCACTACCAGGAATGTTAAATTCAAGTTGAAATATTCTTCTAATAAAAATATTTTGAACTTTTTCCATATCATTAAAATTGTTTAGACTCCAGATTGGAGCAGCATAGCACAGAGTTTATCACTATTGAGTTAAATAATTGAAAATGAGTTTTAACATTTCTAACTTTTAGTTTACAAAATAATCCCATCAAATTATTTATTAGATTTCTGGCCTTGGCTACTGTATTCTTATACTGTTTGTTGAAAGATAAATTTGACGTGAATATTATCCCAAGAAATTTACTTTCATTAACAATTCTTAGTTTTTCTTTCTTGATATAAAATGACATGTTTCTTTTTGGAGGATTCGTACCATTTCTAAAAATCATAATTTCTGATTTACTTGGATTTATTTTAATTTTCAAGTTATCTAAATATTCCACTATTTGTTGTATTTTCCTACGTAAAGCTATTGCAGTAGGCGCCAGTATAACTATGTCGTCTGCATATGAAAATGAGTGTATACTCATATTACCAATATATATTCCATCATCATCTCTTAAAAAGCAGTTATTTAAGTCAAATAGGTAAAAATTAAACAAATAAGGTGACCCTGTAATAAACCTCTATTTGTATGAAAAGATCTCCAGTATATATTATTTTGTTTAATAATTACATCATATTTTCCATATAATTGGTCAATCATTTTTATAAATTAGCTACTTGCATTGTATTTAATCAATTTCTTTTGTAGTAACTTAATGCTAATTGTGTCGAAAGCTTTTTTTAAGTCCAAAAACATCGCAAATACTTTCTGTCTCTTCTTCAGTAATTGTAACTGAATTTTTACTAACAAAATGAAAAGAGCATTGTGTTCCGCCATTTTCTATAAAGGCATATTGAGTAGGATTCTTATAGTTATTTGTCTCTATCCAATTTTTTATCCACCTGATCAAATATGTGTATGAATAAATTTTTTTTGGAAGTATTTTACATTAAAAATTAAATATTTTCATTAACTATATGATGTTTTATAAAATTCTTTTGAAGAATTAATAATTCAGTTCAGAAATACAGCCCAGTATTTTATATTCAATTCAAAATCTTATAATTCATTAGAGTATTTTATTAAATCCATACTAACTTTCAGTAAAAGATGTTTTATAAATAAAATTGGAGTTTCAAATACAGTCTGAAATAATAATTAAATATAAAATGCAACCTGCAGAAACCTTATAGAAAATGGGTCCAGGTGGATTTGGCTGAATTTAATATTTTGTAGTTGTAGTGGTCCTGAACAAAAATCTATAGATACAAAGGGTCAATTTTTGAGTTATTGAACAGCCAAGATGCAAAAACAGAATTTGTGCATGTGCTATGAAATCTTAATTCTTTTTCATTTGAATATATACAGTGATATATTTTCAAGCATTAAAATATTACAATATATACCATTTTACATTCTAAAATTGTATGTTATCTGGACACATTATTTAGATTTCACTGCAAAGAAATCATTCATTATTTGGTATACACTAGTTTGATTCTCATGATGTTTGGGTTCATATCCAATAGTGTGCTACACTAAGTAGTGCTCACTCTATCAAAACTATAATGACTAAAAAGAAACTCCATTGTGACATTTTAAAGCTGTATACTTATTATCAAATAAATAAGTACTTGTTTTCCTAAAGTTTCATTTCTTCATGTCGGCAAATGCCCATATCATGTTTGATTTTCTCTCTATATATTAACTATGTTAATATAAAAAACACATTTTATAATATTTCATTTATTTGATACAGAATAAAGAAGAAAACTAATACCTTCTTTGTTTTGATAGCATTAGTTATTAACTACCATAATTTTGAAATAGCTTGGTATGGCTATCAGAAATCATTTGTACTGTTATGTTTACAATGAAGCATTTCTTCCACTGCAAATAGCTGCAATAGACAGATATGAAAATGCTGTCAAATGTAACATTAGTGTTAAAAAATATGAGGGAATTTTTAGGCCACCACTTGTGACAAATCTGATAAGAATACGTGTAAACAACTGATCAATCTATTTGAAACATATATTTTGAAATGAAAGATCATTGGGCTTTATAACAGGTGCACAAATTATGCTGTTTTTGGATCTTGGATGCTTGGTAACTCAAAAAATGTCCTATTTTTTTTTACTTTGATCATATGAAGACTCTTGATCAGGATCATTAGAACTACAAAATATCAGAGATTCAGCCAAATCCACCAAAACTCATTTTCCATAAGGTTTGTGTGAGATCATTCATTAGAACAAATAATTTTTTTACATTGACTTATACTTTCTTTTTATGTATTCTTAGGTCAATTAAATTCAAAATAATACAAAGAAACTAAATTAAATGGAAAAAATTATATTTAAATTAAGATAGTTTAAAACATGTAATGCAAGGGGGTTTCATTTAAAGTTCTGCAAGCTATACTAAATCTTTCTTCTAACTTCATTTTATTAAGAAATATATAACTTTCTTCATTTACAGTTTAATGTGTTTCTTAACTTAGCAGAGAATTATACAAATTAATTTAATTCCTTCTCTTTGTATAAAGATAATTATTATCTGTTCCTTTTTTTAAAACACGTTAGAAATTGAGACATTAATGTAAATAGTATAGTGAAAGTTTAAAAAAAAAAAAAAAATAATAATAATATAATAAGAAATAATAAAATAAGAAGAATAAATATTACTTACCATGTAAAATGTAACAAAGCTCACTATTACCATTAAGAAGTTGTAGACTACCATGAATGTTCTTATATTCATTGGTTCTCGATCTTTCATGTAGGCAGGAGCCAACACTTTTACTACGTAAACATACAAGAGGCAGATGGATATAGTAGGCCATGGGCTTTGCATCATTGGCCATTCATTAACTCTGGGATCTGGATGTATTTAAAAAAAAGTTTTAAATTTAGTGAAAGTTTAATAATTATTAGATTGTTCAGAAAGTAAGTTAATTTTTTTATCACTAGATGGATTAGTCATATTTTCCCCGCCATTTTCATTCTAAACCATATTATCATTATATATTTTGACAGCTAGCATTTTAAGGCTTATTTGTAAAAAATTTTGTTTGATTCTGTGCAATTGTTTATTTTTGTGTTCCATCAAATATGGAAGATCAAAAGCATCATTTTCGGCATATTTTCCTTTTTTATTACCAAAAAATCAAAATGCTGTTCAAGCAAGAAAAAACTGTGGTACATGTATGGAGATGATGTGTGTGAGAGAAAGACAGTGCCAAAACTGGTTTATAAAATTTCGTTCTGACAATTTCAATATTGAAGATGCACCACGTTCTGGATGACCAGTTGAAGCCAATGAAAACAAAATAAGGGTACTGATTGAAGCAAACTGCCGAATAACAACACATGAAATCACTAAGAAATTAAATTTGTCAAATTGAACTGTTTATGATTACTTGAAACAAATTGGTTTCATTTCAAAGCTTGATATATGGGTTCCACATGTTCTTAAAGAAAGAGATGCTCTCTTTGGTGGGATTTTAAGGAAATTTTTTTTATGGAGCTATTACCAGACAATTTAACAATTGATTCAAAAGTGTACTGCCATCAAGTAAACAAATTGAGTAATACAGTAGAGTCTCGAAAACTCGGCCTAATGTGGACCGAAGGGTTGCCGAGTTTGTGAAAATGCCGGGTTATTGGGAATGGGGTTAAAAAAAATAAGTATGGGTGTTTCCTCAGAAAATACTGTACTGTACTTGTATGTATTGTTTACTTGAGAATACAACAGAGAATAAACTGCCAAAATACGCTTAAACAAAGGAAAAGTACGTCCTTTATGAAGGCATAGAGTCTTTACTACATGAAAATGAAAATTAATGAATACACTGTGTACAGTAATTTACATGATAAGACAAACCTCAGAAAAATACTTTATGAGGCATAAAGCTGTCTATAATGAAAATTAATTTTAACTAAGGATTTTTTTGCCCTGACAGGGTGTGGCCGAGTTATCCGGACTGCCGGGTTATCGAGTGCTGAGTTTTCGAGACTACTGTTTCATCAAACAGAAAAGACAGCCAGAATTGATCAACAAAACAGGCGTATGTTTTACCATGATAATGTCAAATTTCACACAAGTTTGGTAACTCATCAGGAACTATAACTTAGATGGGATGTGCTATCATACCGACCATATTCGCCAGATTGAGCACACTCAGATTATTACTTGTTCTGTTCTATACAAATTTTTTTTAACGTAACACATTTCCTTAAAATGACAATGTCAAAAATCACTTTGATCAGTTTTTTGGGTACTTGTGAATCTTTATCCCAGATGGTGGCGCCGCCCTGGCGACCAACATCTCAACTAGTACCTGTATCCCCTCGAAACGAATTAACTCGGCCAGCTAACCTACCAACACACGTGTTATCGACTTAGTTTTGTTATTTCAACGTTGTTAATTACGTAGACTGTCGTGGCGGCTCATCTCTGATTCCAGCAGTGGGGACGCACGTTCTAACCTAACCTAACATATTCTAATAATTTGATTGATAATAATTATGGTAATTTATTAGAATAGGTTAGGTTAGGTTAGAACGTGCGTCCCCACTGTTTCCTTTCTTTTGTTTGCTGGAATCAGAGATAAACCGCCATGACAGTCTACGTATCTGGACTTTAACCAACATTTTTTCTTTCTCACAAAGGTTTGGAAAACACGTGTCTGTTGGTAGGTCAACTGGCCGAGTTAATTTGTTTCGAGGGGATACAGGTACTAGTTGAGATGTTGGTCGCCAGGGCGGCGCCACCATCTGGGATAAAGATTCACAAGTACCGTTTTTTGTAAGCAACGATCAATTTTATGAATGTGAAATCATGCTACTACCAGAAACAATGACAACAGGTATTTGACCAAAATGGTCAATATATAATTCAATAAAATATTTATTTATCATAAGAATAGTGTGTTTTTTTCCACATAAAAAAACAAACTTACTTTCCGAACAACCCAATAGTAAAAGAAAAACTTGATATAGTAATCCCTCCATTTACTTGAAAAATTAATTCCATGAAAACATTGTTTAGAGGGAATCATGGAGAGCTGTTTAAAATAGGAATCTGTTCCATATTCTCAAACATAGTATTTACTTTTACTGGGGTAGAAAAGTTTTAACTAACTGTAAGTTTAAGTTTTTTTTTGTTATATATATATAAGGTTACTAATTAAAAAAAAGCACTTTTTGATGTAATTATCATTTATTTTCATAAAGTTGATTATTTAAAGTTTAAAAATTTTTCAACCACATTTAATTAAGGGGATTTGTTTAGCACTCCACTTACACTGTCGTACAAAACTGCTACAAATGAATGAAATGAACACTATTGAAATGAAATACTATCTGCATCACACTATATGACACAAACTAAGTTAACATGTGATTAGTTAAAACGGTTGCAAATACTAGTTATGAAAAGTTAATTGGCCAAACAAACCAAAAATTTGGCAAAAGTTGGATATTCTCAACTCATAATAAACTGGTTGAATGCTTACTGAAAGGGGACAAACTGGCATTTTATATCAATGTGAACCTACCTTAAATGGAGATCACATAAATGAGAGGATTACTGTATAAAATAAAGTATAATATGTAAAGATTTCAAAAATTCATTTAAATTTATTTTGTTAACACAAAAACACTAAACTGTACAAACAAAGAATTAAAAACTTATTCATAATCTTCTCAAATGTAAAATTAATTTTCTTTAATATAGAAAAAAAATTTAATTTTTTTTAATCATAGAATTCAGTTCAATAATGATAAAGAAAATTAGCACATTAATTAAGAACAAAACTGTCATTTAATGTAAATAAATAGGAAATTCATTTCATTTTAATTTTAATTAAAAAAAAACCCAAACTTTATCATTAATCATTTTGTATTAAAAATATTTTATATCATCAATAGAACTAATTCAACTAGTACCATCACTTCTATACCTTTATTCATTATATATAAAGATGGGATACAGGATAACTTATCTAGAAATGTTATCTGAATATACAAAACTACAAATTCTGTTCCATTTCTAGATCTATTTATAGAAAGTATAATTTCTTTATGAATAATTAATCAAAATTATTACACACTAATATATAACTGGAATTTAAAATAACTTCTAATTACAGTACTTTAAATTAGAATCTCAAACTTATTCTCTTTCATTTTCTTTATCTGCAAATCATTACTAAGAATTTTATGGGAGCTAATCAATATTAGTAAGGATTTAGCCTGTTTGCTTGATATCTTTATATGTTAATAAAATTATTAAGAGAACAGACTAACCTCTAATAGCTCTTTATGTATCAAAGTGATATCAGTAATGTGCAGATTACTGCTTTAATAATTCAATATAAATTTTAAAGTTAATAATTATTGTATTAGCATATAATTTTATGACTGATTATCAATCTCAAATGTTTTAAAATTACTGACATTTACTGACAAAAAAAATCATATTTAATATTTTTAATTTTAAGATATTTACAAATTCAATAATTCATGTTTTGAATACTAATGCACAGATAATATGTAATATATGATCATATCAGTGAATGAATAACAAATAATCTCAACATAGTTTATATTATTACATTCTTCTGAATGAACAATTTATTTTATAGCAATAGTGTGCATATCAAGAAAGCAATAATTTTATTAAAACAAAGAAAAACACTAAAAGCAACACACTTTTAATCAGGTTAAATTTATATTTAAAATAAAAGTTTAAATTAACTCATGCAACTATGCATGTTTAAGAGATGATTCATTTTTTATGTATTTTTTAGAACCTTTTAACTGCTGTAAATACATAGCAAATGCATTAGAATACAGTGAGCATAAAATGCACATATTTAGAAGATAGCACAACATTTACACTAACTATTCTTCACTTTATTCACATATATTTTTTAATGTAAATTTATTGTTTTAAAATAAAATAACTAATTACATCCTGTCTGTTCTTTGTATTGTAGTATTTCTGTTATATTTGTTATGAATAACAAAAAGAATTAATACCTACTGTATAAATATAAAAAATTTAAATTTGCAACTCATTATATAGAAGATTTCTGAAAAATCAAGCACTCTTTAAATTTTTCAACCTTAGATTTTTCTTAAAAATTCAAATAAAATCACTTAAACATCCTATGCAAAGTTATAAGGAACTTCTTATAAATTTTAAGTTCTTTCTAATTTAAATTTACAACTGAATAAAAAAACCAGTGCTATCATCAAATCTCTTGCAGCTGATAAATCTATCAGTTTATTAAATTACACTTTAGTATCTTAAAAAAAAAAGTGAAAATAATTTAGAAGAAAATTACATAATTTTTTTCTATTGCTGTTTAAGAAATTTTTGTCAGAAGTGTTTAATTTGAAATATTAAATCATTCTAAATATGTAATTTAGTTTTTCTAAAGATATTTTTTGTTTAAAATATTCTGTATGTGAAATAAAGTAAGCAGTCCTTGACTTTCAGATGTAATGCATTTCTAAAACACTTAAGGAGGTCCAATGTATAAATGCTAAAACAACAATTCCATGTCGTAAAGGGAGTTCCATTCCCAAGTAGCTAAAAAACCTTATGAAATCTCTTAAGTTAGCTTTTAATCCTTGATCAGTGGCGTCAACACTAGCCATAGTGATTTTATTCATGCAGGTTAATTATAACAATTGAATGTAAAATTACCAACATTCTAAACAAAAATCTAGTTTTGTATTTTAATACACAGTCTTTTTTTGATGATATGAAACCGTGCTTTACAATTTGTTTATGCTTCTAACACAATAAAGTGCTATAAATTAAGACACTTGGCGGGTTAAAGATGAATAAAGATGAGAAAACCCGCCAAGTGTCTTAATTTATAGCACTTTATTGTGTTAGAAGCATACACAGTCTTTTGTTGTGCCCATACTTTGATAAAATAAATTTTGACAAAGTGTTATTAGTTTTTCATTAAGATTATAATACTATGTCAACAAGTTATAAAATTACAAATATAAAATTTCAAACTAATAGATCAGTTTGATCCCAATCATGTACTATTAATAATTTTTGTTAGTAGAAAATATCATTCAATATCTGCAAACAGGATTTCTTCTAATTTGGGAGTTTTTTGGAAATTTGATCAGTGCTACACCTCCTTTCAAGTAAACAAAACTTCACACCACAAAGTTCATGGCTTTGCTCATTTCTCAATGAGATTTGTGCCACATGCATTGCAAAAATAATTACATCTTGTTGGCTTAAATTATGTGGAAAATATGATTAAAAATTAATCAGAGCCTCTGACCCCTAAGGTTTCCATCTTGTCTCAATTTTCATCTATCTAACTCTATTCTTGAGATTTATGAAAGATGGACACAGATGACAGTGGGAATTTATAGGTATGAAATTTGAAAATTACAGTCCAAAAATACTTCACAAGACCATAAAGAATATAATAAAAAAGTTTAAATAAAATAATAATTAAATAGATAACTGATCCCAGCACCCTAAGCCATGATAAGCAAACAATGAAACAATAAGTTATTTTTAATAACATATTGATGCTAACTGAAAACTTTTCTTCCTGTAGCATGGAGTAAATTTCACCAGAGGTATTTTTTCCTTAAAATGTTTAAATCTAATTGAAAATTTCACTTTATGATATTATGTGACCTATTGATTCAGGAAGCTAGACATTTTTAAGATTTTTCAAAGAATTTTTAAATTTTTGTTATGCTAAACAACAAAGAGATGAAATCTACCCAATCATCCCTAAAAAGTGGCTATTTTACTACACATAACATTAATTTAAAATAGTCAAACCATGAACTATGTGTAAAACACAAAAATTAATCTGCACAAATGATTTTGGCATTACCAAAACCAGCTTTATTTCAAAATTTTTGCTTACTGGCTGAAAATGTATGAAAAATCAAATTTGGTATTTGCAACAGCTTTAGTGTCATCAATGTGTCATGTATGAAAGAATGAATTGTCCAAAAAGTTGATGACCACCTGTGAATATACGTCCATACACACACACACACCTTTACATAATGATTATAGTTAATTCTACAATTAATATTTTTAATTTTTAAACCATATTCTTATAATAGACTGTTTGGCATAAATTACTTTTTTAAATTCATTATAGAATCACAATAGATTTTTATATTACTGATTTTGTTATTTATCTGGTAGATAACAGAAATACATACATTATTAACACCCTACTATCCTTTGCCTTGTAGAACTCCCTCAAGTTTTCTATCATCTTCAAAAGGGTGGTAGCACCCACTTTGGAAATCACTGGACTAAGTTATTATCTTAAATACCATCAGATGATAAATAGAAAATTAAAATACTACCTAGATGTGGATTAATATAATTCTGAAGACATTCAAATTACGAAAGGCTAAAATTTCAAATTTTAAATAAAAAAAATAGAAAACTTAATATTATATCATGTTTTCTCTAATGTTATTCTGTAGCTTATTTTTAAAATAATTTTAATGATATTGCTGTAACTGCATTAACCATAAATTACTTTTTACATATTTAAAATTTAAATATGTAAAGTTTTTTTTATTTTAATATTTGAAAGTAAATTGCATATGGAATGTTAATTCCACAATTAATGAAAGCAACATCTAGAATTAAGTATACCAATTATGTTAATTTAGATAAATTAAATTTACTAAAAATATATACTGTATATATTAGCCAACATATCTTATCATGCTGATAAAAGAAAAATTTTTTATACTCTTACAGATCTTTGTAAAAAAATGCTCAGAGTATTTTGTAGATTATCAACAGAATATATATTTTATTAAAACACCACACCCTCTGGCAAGACTATCATTTTTCCTTGAACAAGATTATAAAATTCACATAGAGTTATTTTAAAATGTCAACCAGGAAAAAAGTAGTGAAAGTAATGAACTTGTTCCTCTTCAACAGGAAAATTTAGGTCAATGGCACAAACTACTTATGAAGTCACTTATCAATGACAATTTTTGATTCTTAAATAGTGTTTAGCATGCACTAATAAAAAATGTCAAACATGTTTACTTCCTGTTTTACTTTTTCTTAATGCAAGAGTGTAACTATCAGTTTGTGTCTATTTTAAAAATATCCTTTGTAATATAAATTAGAATTTGATAAATTGAATTAAAAATATAATGAATTAATTTTGGCACATAAAAATTTACATTGTATTATCTCAAGTTTTTTTCCTATGAAAATGCCATTGTACAGTATATTATATCAACTTAAAGGTCAAATAAAGAGTTTCAATGTAAATCCATTAATTTAAAAGATGAAGTATTGAGCTTAACAGTGAAAAAATTGAATAATAGAGCAAAAGTTTTTTTTTAGAGATAAAATCCAAAAAAATTATAATCTAAAAATTGGGGGGGGGGTTAAATTTATAGTTTTATTTTTGTGGTTCATCAGAATCTATCACAAATAAATTATGAAAATGAAAACAGGATGTATATTAATACATTACTGTTTTTCAAATTAATATAATAACCTTATTATTTTCATTTTGTCAATTTACTGATAGTATTGCTGATCTTATAAATACAAATAATACCGATAATCAGAAAAACAAAATACTTATTTCACAAAATTATTGAAATTTTTCATTAATTTCATTATATTATAATAAATGGATTAAAAATTTGCTAATTATAACAAATTATTATAAAAAGAGGATTTTTACAGGTACCGAATATATCTCAATTCAGTCCTGTAGCCAGGAATAAATCATCAGAAGGGAGAGATTAATAAATGAGGGGCAAGCTGAAAAAAATTGAATGAGCCTATAAATAGGCTCTGTATTAGTAGGATGAACATCTTCAACTTTATCATTTTAATTTTTTCACTTTTTTAAGTTTGCTGTGGGTGATTATTATTAATTTAATCTCTTAAAAATAGGTTTATATTATCTAATAATAAAAGGGACAAGGAATAAGGGACACAGAATATAAAATTAAGACTTAAACACAACAGAAAACAAGATTGTGACAAATGAGTGGTATTTTTTCTTGCAGAAAACACTATTAGCTACAGTCTGCATGTAAGAAAGTAACAGTAGCCTAAATTTATACATGTATATTGCATATATACTGATGTACTAAGCTGGAAAACTTTAATATGTTTTAGGGAGCTTAGTCCCCTCAGCCTGTATAGTTTCATTTTATAGTTTCACAAATTTTAGTTATAATTCATACAGAAAAAAATTGTTTACATTTTATTCTATTTACAAAACACAAGTGAATAAACAAACACACCAAATATAAATGAAAAATTCCAATATAATAATGAAATGTAAAATATTTTTTTTGTATTGTTTTCAAATAAAAATATCCACTTTTATCAACATAATGTTGATAAAATTTTTCAATTCACAACATAAATTACAACTAATCATTATTACCACATAGAATAAAGGACTGGAAACAAAGTTTTTCTTATTTACACATATACATTTAATAATAAAAAGCAACACAGACATATGTAACTGTTAAACCACATTTAAACACAGTTTACTCATCTAGCTAAAATTTACCATTATCCTGCCAATGTTACATTTTATTCTGGATACGCTCCCAAAATTTAAAAAAAAAAAAAAAAAAAAAAAAAATCAAGCTAAAAATTTGTCTTTTTGCAAAAAATACAAAGAACTGTAGAATTTATTAATAAATCTACTCGCAAGTTCAACCTTTCCTCTTGGCACTATAATTATGCGCTTTTCCCTACGTACGATTATATATTACATATAAAAAACATATGTTTAGAAATTTAGGTGCAAACATTAGATCTGTGTTAAAGCATACTTAATGACGATACATCCTTTACTTAATTAAAAAGCAATCCAGCATTTTAAACAGATAAAAATTTTTATGTATATTCATATGTATATATAGAAGCTCTCACATGTAATTAGAACAGTTATGTTTTAAATTTAAAATTAAAAAAATAAAAATAAATGTTTGAATCTTCATTCTATTCTGAAGAAGAAGCATGTTAAAGTGTTTATAAAGCATTAATTGATATATATTAACAGGTATTAACAGTTTTATAATGAATTTAGCATTGCGATTGATGAACCGGCAGACAAGCAAAAGTGAATGGAAGGATAAAACCGGTATATTCCTCTTCCAGGAATATTTATTCCCGTTTAACCATAAAACCAGTCATCTATAAAACGTTTTCCTTTCTTTTTATATATATATATATGTATTATTAAATTCTTTACATTGTATAACAAGGATATTTCTTAAAAAAACCCGTTAATTTTTTAGGCTTAGAAACCGGCCAACGCCCCGATTGACTTACGATGCATCAAATATCCACTAACCTCCATTATCCAACGTTGTGTTATAGAAGTCGACAATTTCTAACCACAAATGGTCCATTTTGTCGTCCAAACCTAACGATTTCCTTCACTTTTAATGCTGATTAAAGGAAACCGAACTCCTACGAGTTTCTCTTTTAACTGTATCTAGCAAAAAAAAAAAGAACCCAACTCAACCCTTCAAGCGCCATCTGATGTGCGAAGATAGCGAATGACATTTGTACGTCTGCTGCTGCACCCGAATTAGCAACTGGTAGAGTGGGACATTACGGAAAAAAAAAATAATAATAATAAATTTTGATAATATTACGCCGCATAAACTTTATTTTAAAATATTAATATAAATTAATATTTTAATCTTATACATATTGTAACGTATAAATAAATATTTTTATATTCGTATATATGGTGTATCATTTATTATCTTTTATTAATTTATATTTATAAATAAAAATTAAAAAAATTAAATTAAA